GAAGAGGAGGAAACACATGCAGCGTAGCAGAAGCGCAGGCGGGCTGAAATACATCGACTGAGCCTGCGACAGGCAGGCGGATAATTTGGCAGTAGCAAGCGCGATTTCCCTGGACTGCAAGGAGCCCGACCAACTGACGGTGAATGGCTTGCGACTTGGTCCAAGCCAGGCGGGGAGAGAGGGGGCTCGCGTCGAGGATGGAAAGGGGGGGGATTGGTTCGGGGTCGTGGAAAAATTCAGCGGCCCCCTCCTCCGCGGAGGTATTCTCACGAGAGAGCTGCCCAATCCCACAAAGATGCGATTGGGGGCCTTGCGGTCGCGCTGCGGTGCCTGAGGCCGGCGTCTAAGAGGGAAGAGGTGCCCATGCCGTCTCTGCCGGTTGAGTTGCGGGGCCTTGGGGTCGGTGTGCCTTCTGAGGAGCGTCCTCGTCGGCGCGCCGGTCTGGGCTAGAAACTGCCCCCCTCTGTCTGTGAACGCACTGGAAACTGGTTTGTTTGAGTTTTTTTGTTCTCTGATCCGTCAATCTGGTCTTCTGCCTAGCCTATGATCGTGCAGCCAAGTGCGCGCCCGTCAGAAATGCGCGCCCCCTGGCCCTGCCGGGCATGGAGCGGTGCGCAGACTAGACCTTTGCAGGGCGTTCCTCAAACGCGTAATGGAGTGTGGACCAACATGCGTCCATTCTGAGATGGACCACCAATCCTGTTGAAAAAGCATAAGACGGAAGACGATGCTTCTACTAATCTGCACGCCCTGGCGCCTCAACAGAGCCGGCCTTCCCTCATAGCCTGCGGTCGACGAAGCGATCGACGGCGCGGCGAGAGGCTCGGAGCAAAGACGCTGCCATCAGCGAGACAAGAAAGCCTGCGCAGCCCTTCGCGCGGAGGGTGGTGACCTTCTGCTGAGGACAGGATGCGGCATGCTCCAATGGGGCACTTTCGCTGCGCCGTCGTGCGTTCACGCGTTTCGCCCCGCCGTCGACCGTTGGACTTCGAAATGGCGCGAAGCGGACCCCCTGGAGTAAGACCAGCGGACCCCCTGGAGCAGGGCGGAATTCGCGGAAGGTCGACTGAGGCTCACCGAATGTGCCGATAACGTGCTGAGAACAACTCGTCCTGGGGCATCGTCTTGTCCTTGGATCTGGCCAGGCGAAGCCTGATCACAAGGGGCGAGCTGCTGGATGCTGGGCTTACTAGTGTCGGTCTCCAGCGAAGCCAGAAGAAGCAGGAGGCCTCATTTGCTGCCCCGCCTTCTGCCAAGCGTAGAGTGGCAAATTTGCCCAGCAAGAGACAGTGAGGATGCGGCGAGTCTGTTCGGGACATGGGCCCGCGTCTGACTCCCACCCAATCGTCTCAATGCGAACTCGGAAAACCAATGCAGGCCGCGAAGACGGCGCATTGCGGCATGGGGTTCTTCTGGCAGCCACCGGGCACCCCGCTTAGATGGAAGCGATGCGTTTTGCTCTGCCATGTTGTAAGTTCAGTCCCTTCAGCGGTGGAATGTAGTTTGTTCACACAGCTCGGGCCAACTTCGTAAACTCGAGCTTGCGGTGGCTGGCCTGTCTCGCAGAGCGATGAGGGGCAAACCGAAGTGGGAAGATGAATGCCACGCTCGATCGCTGTCCTCCCAACACATGCTCGAACACTGGAGAGCAGTTTGTTCTGTGTTGAGCTTCGTGCCGCACGGCTCAAGCAGTACCAGCGTATTTCTGCAATCTCCAGATCCCACACGCAGCTGATCGCTGCTTGCCTTGGCACGCTTCTAGGGGAAGCTGTGTTCGAGGGGCAGTCCCCAGCCAGAATGCGAATCCTTGGGCGGTGTGGGTTATTGCGGGCATTCGGCAGCTTGTGTGTGTCCGGGGAGGCAACTGAACTGTTGCAGGACGCCCGCTGTCAAGCCACACATTCGTTCTAGCCCTGATGGTATGATGCGAAGTTGCTGCGTAGTGCGCCCCTCGATGTGAATATTGCCCCTCCTGGAACAGGCCCGTTGTTGGGCTCCCCTGAAGCCGAGGAAGCGGGAATCCTTTCGACTGCGCGTATGCTCACTTGCCCCTGGGAAGATGAAGCAAAAGGCCCGTGTGGAAACGTTTAGTTGTAGGTCTGGATTCGCAAATCGTATACGTATCGCACATACAACTGAAACGATATACACATATAGTATGTGCGGAGGTCTTTGGTGAGCGCCTGACAGCCTGCAAACACCTGGCAGGGGCCCTGCTTTACAGACGCTTCCTTGGGAACAAAGCGTCGACCCTCAAGGGGTTCCAGGTATCAGAGGCCTTGACATGTAGAGCTTGTGGCTAAGCGGCACGAGGTGCACAAGCAAGCACTCGCCACGCCTGTTCTCACCTCTGGCATGCCACAGGTCGAAGACGTGGACGCGGATCTGTTCGGAGCAGAGGCGATGCCCCCGTGGGTCGGAGTGCAGTTCGCGACACGCCCGAAACGCCCCGCAGAAGATGGAGCAGTGGCAGGATCGGAGCCCAGCCCGAAGGAGGCCAAGGGAACAGGAAAAGGCGAAGGGGATCTTCTCGCGAAGGTCGGTGTTTTCGCTGGCCACGGCTCGCGAACAGGCGTTGCTGTGCGCCGTCGTGCTGTCGACCTTCGAAGTGCCGCTCGATTGCTACCGTGCGAAGACCGGTTTTGCAGCCAACAAACACTGCACGGACATGGTGAGTGAGCCGCATGATCGAACAAATGCAGGGGAGGATGTAGACCTCAGCAGTCCTGCCCCCCCCCGTTCGTCATGATGTTCTTCCTGAAAGTGCGGGCCATGATGGCATCATTCGCCACTTCTCGTTTATGACTCCCCGAAGGCCTGGCTCAAAGAAGATGGAGGGCAAGGTGCGCCTGCAGTTCGCTCTCGGCCCGAATCCGGAGGCGAAGGTGGTCAATGTGCTGATGGAACAAATTCTCTTGGACATTCAGGCGACAATGCTCGTGGGCACAGCACCGAAGGGTCCGCTCGAGCGCTAAATCTCATCCATGCTGTCCTGCTCTTCGAGCAAGCGAATGTACGTGAGGCTTTCGCCAACAGTGCCAGATGTCAGGAGTTGCTTGCCAGGGGTTTGGGGGGGGCCTGCCTTGTGCAAATCCATAGTTGCCCTTTCTGTGGGTAGGGGAAAAGGGGGGACCGTCGTCGTCGTGATGGGGTGGTGGTCTTGGGAAAGGAATTGAGTCCTGAGGGTGCTGCTGGTGCCAGCGGGGTCGCTACGGGGCCTTCCCCGCCAAGGCGTTCCCCACATCCTAGCGACTATGTGGCCGCCGCAGGGTCAACTTCGCCACATAGGGTCCGAAACTGCTACATGCTGAAGTTATCAATATTGTACGATGCTGTTCGCAGCCTACATAATACAAGCTAGGCTGAGCGAGTGTAGCACAGTGACGATCGGGATGAACTGGCCCTTAGTGCTCCCGTATCGTATCGTATCGTGTCGTGTGGTATCCTCCTCCTCCTCCTCCTGCTCCAGAGGAGGGCGGAGGGGGGCGAGAAGGAGGAGAGAAACGGATGAGAACGGCGGGAGGGAGGAGGAAGCGGGCAGGAGGAGGGCTGGAGAAGGACAGGAGGGTACGAGACAGAGGGGGAAGGATGACGGGGGGGAGAGGTGGAGGAGACCTTCAGCGATGAGAGAGAGAGAGAGGAGAAGGAGGAAGAGGAAGAGGAGGAGGAGGAGGAGGAAAAGGAGGAGAAAGTGAGGAGGATGAGGAGGAGCATGAGGAGGAGGGGGGAAGAGGAAGAGGAGGAAGAAGAGGAGAAGGATGATGATGATGAAGAAGAGGAGGAAGAGGAGGAGAAAGGGTCGGAAAAGGAGGACAGAAGACGAATGATAGATGCTAAGGAGATAGTAGGTCAAGAAGAAGAAAAGGTGGGGCTGGAGGAAGGGGAGGATCAGGGAGGATGGAACAAACATGGAGTAGACAGGGCGCGAGGGATGGAGGGGGGAGGATGAGGAGTGATGGGGGAGGAAGGATTAACGGGGGGGAGAACGAGGAGTATTAAGTGCCAGGGCGGAGAGAATATGGAGGATGACGATGGATGTGCGCATGAAGGAGGAAGGAGCAGGGAAGCGTACGACGTCAAATCGGCTTCGTTGACGACGATGGCCCCCCTCGAGGAGAAGCTGCCTGAAGGCGCTGACGCGTCCGGCAAGGGGGTGGCCCCCAGAACAACCACCCCGTGCACCCCAAGGAGGGGCTGGGCTCATCCCTGCGCTCCTCCTTCTCTTCCTCCTCCTCCTCCTCCTCCTCCTCCTCCTCCTCCTCCTCCTCCTGCTCCTCGTCGTACCCCTCCTCCCCTGCTGCTGCACCTCCTCGTGCCTCCTCCCTCTGCTTCCCCTCCGCCTGCCGCTGCACCCCCCCATGCGACAACACCCGTCCCACAAGCCCAGACCTGCCAGAGCCCTCAAGCACTGGCGACAGGGACCGAAAACTGCTCCGAACGCCGAGTCCAGCCCGATACCCTGCGTCGCGAGCGACGGCCTCAGTCACATCCGTGCTCTCGCGGCCTGGACAACGATTCTCGATCCCACGGGTGCTCGATCCCCTGGAGATGCGACACGCGCTGTGGAATCAACGCAAGAACCGCCCTGCACCCAAAGGGCACGGCTGATGAGGCCGCACCACGAGGCCATGGTTGCTTCACGCGCACAGTTCCTCACCCCCCCCTTTCCATCCTGTAAGAGGAACCAGACCACCAGACCGCTACTCCCGCCTTACGTCCTCGACGATGGACCCCTGGTTATCCACCATCCCTGGGCGGCCTTCTGACGGTCCTCGTCTTTTTCAACAATCTTCCTGCAATTATCCTCCCCCCTGCCTCTCGTTTGGGAAACCGAATCATACCGATACCGCCATTCCCCAGACCTCTTCCAGGGTGCGTTCCGACCAAAATTTCAGAGCGAATCCAGCCGCGGCGACGAGGGCCTCCAGTGAGGCCGAAAAGGGCGACAAGACAAGAAGGGAAGGGTAATGAGCGGTATCAGTGCCTTTGCCGCCTCTGACCTGTGTCGGTGCAGACGTCGGTGGCGGAGTCGGAGACGGCGTCGGAGAAGCCGTCGGTGCTGCCGTCGGCGAGGACGTCGGCGCAGGGGTGACCAGACTCTCGAAGTATTCCCTGGCCGTGGGGCGGCACGTCGCGGCCCCCTCGACGACGAAGTAGTCGGACGTCCCCGCGAAGGCGAAGTTGCGGCCCCACACCTGGCCACTTACTCGTCGTCCTCCTCGCCTTCGCTCCTCCTCCTCCTCCTCCTAATCGTTTCGCGCCTGCTCCTTTGGACGCTCTCGAGCACAACCCAGCGACAGGCTGCGCCGCAGAGTGAACAAAATTGCCACGCCAGAAAACACTGGACGAGGCACAGGTGTTTTAAAATAGGCCATCCTAGCGCCTGCAGCGGGAACGGGCGGGCTCACCGGCCACCCGCCGCGGGCCTCGCTCCTCCTCCCTCCTCGCCTCTCGCTCCTCCCCACCTGGACGTGGTCTTCGGGATGGTAGGTCAGGACCTGGAAGCCGAGCTCGAACTCGCTCGTGTTGTTGAACTCGGCCATGAAGCACCGCTTCGCCTGGTCAACGGGTGCCGACGTCGCATCCGGACAAGTGATGTTGGTCAGGTTGTTTGGATCCGTTGGGTTGTCGCAGCCATGGCCGAACATCATCGAAGTTGCCTTGATTCCAAATTTACCACCAGAGCTGGAAACATATTTCCGGGCGGTCCTGCCCGAAACCGCTGTTGGGATAGACTCGATGGTGTATGATGACAATGCAACTGGGCTGTCGGTCACTGTAGTTCCAAACTCGTACATCCTCAAATCAAAATCGATGTCACCATCAACCGTGTAGACGGCGGTGATGCCGTCGAGGAAAAATACTTCATTCTCCCCGTCTATGTAATGGTCGATATCGCAGATTGTGATCTTGGGCACCAGTGGAACCTCAGGACACCAGGTGTGAAATCTCACAAACTCCCCCTTGAGAGTTGTCCTTTCCCCAACAAGAAGATTCACAAGCGCCCAGCCTCCACTACTGATCTGGTTCCAATTTGTGTTTCTGGGGACATACGCGCTTGTATTCACCATGACTAGATCGTACAAGACTCCATTTGGAAGACGCCCGACTCCATAATACCTGAGCTCCCTGGGTCTATCCGAATCTGGACCCATGCCACCAAGATTTGAATGAGACATTCTGACTTGTGTAGCGTGAAGATCAACGAATTCAATCCAATCCTCACAATCTATGACGCGGTCAAATGGCTGTGACGGGGGGCATGCTTCTGGACACACGCAACAACTTGTTGCAGAGGTGAAATCTTCATCGTCATAATACGGGTCGAAGCAAATGCCGTCAAATGGTTCAGAATAATTGTGCGAATAGATGTCGCACGAATTGCCAAAAGCATTTGTCGCGTCAGAATCCACACATGCTGTCGGTGCTGGTGTAGCTACTTCTGGTGACAGAAATGATCGCATTGACGCAAGCATGCGCGACAATGTTCCATCATGATTATGGCGCGAAACGCGTTGAGAATGACCGCCACGTGCATATTTGTGACCCTCGTGCGACACAGCCGCTGAGGTCCGCGATGCTTCCACTGAGGTCTGCATCATGGAAATATCCAATTCGACAATCCCAGACCCCTGCAATTCGAGTGTGCCGTCGGAAACACTCATGCCTGCGGCACTCGTATCCGTCGCATACACGGAGAGCAATATGAGCGCAGCCCCCACTCGCACTGAGGGACACGACGCGGCACAGATGCTGGCAGAGAACAGAGTCATTACTGATAATGGTGTTTGTGTGTAATTTGGTGATTTAGAGAAGGCAGTGATTGAAGTGCCTTGTGGCTGTATCCATCGGGCCGGGAACAAGAGCAGGATGCCGACGAGGGGCATGGGGAGCGAGGACGTCCTCATCCATTCTTCTCTCGATGTCCACCTCATCCTGCTTCTCCCGTGCTGAGACTGGAAGGTCAACGCCGCACCCCCGCTCAAAAAACTACCCCTCGACCTCTCCAGGGGTGCGCTTTGAAGCGGAGCCCGAACGGAATCCTGCCGCGGCGACGGAAAGCCTCCTGTAGGCTCAAGATTGTGACAGAACGCTGGCTAACAAACCTCGAGCCCTCCTCCCTGTGGCTTTCGGGCCGTAAATCTTGCCTCCGGCGGCCGTTCGGGGTGACTCGGGCACCCCCAGAACGCTCTCGGCGAGGTGCAGCTTCGGGAAAGGATCCCGAGGCGAGAAACACACACAATTAGCATGGCGAAGGACCCAATCTTATGAAGCTGCGAGCACTGCATGAGATCGCCCAGTCCTAATCGGTAGCCCGCCGCGAAAAGGATGAGATCTTGGGCAATGTGGATGGAGGGGGCGAAATGTGTGAGCGCTGTGCCGAAATGAGGCGGCCCTGCCAGGCGAACCCTGCCATGAGCTCCATGTTAGAAAGAGCCGCAGGTGAGGCCACGAAACATGTGAAGGTTGTGCCGAAATGACGCGGTGGCGCCATGCGGAATACGCCATAAGGGCATTCGGTGGAGCTCGGTAGGGAACGCGACGCTTGTGGTGTGCCGAAAAGGGCGTGGCGCCAGCATGCGGTCGCGCCCACTGAATCATCACGTGGAACTCCACGAGCCGCGAAACGTGTAAGGCGTGTGCCGACATAGGAGCGCACACGCCATGCGGTCGCGCCTGCCGAACCGTAGGTGGAGCTCACTATGGGGCCACGAAATGTGTGAGAGGTGTGCGTACATGGGGGCGCGTACGCCGTGTGGTCGGGCCCACTGGGACCGTAGGTGGAGCTTCCTGTGGAGGGCCATGAAACGTGTGAGGCGTGGGCTATATGTGTGGCGCGTACGCCATCCAGTCGACCCCACTAGGCCGCAGGTGCAACCCCATATGGGGCCCGAAACGCGTGAGGGTTGCCGAAAAAGGGCGCGGCGCCGCCATGCGATCGCGCCCACTGGGACATGAGGTCGAACACCCTTCTGGCCACGAAACTTGCGATCATGCAGTCGGGCCCACTGGGCCGTAGGTGCAACCCCACATGGGGCCCGAAACGTGTGAGGGTTGCCGACAAAGGGCGCGGCGCCACCATGCGATCGCGCCCAACGGGACATAAGGTCGAACACCCTTCTGGCCACGAAACTTGCGATATGCGCGTGTGTGTGCCGAAATGAAAAGGCGTACACCATGCGGTATGCCCCGCTGAGACAGCAGGTGGAGCTCACCACGCAGCCTGGCACGTGCTAGGGCGCGCCGAAATGAGACAGATGCGGAGGGCAGAGGCGATGAGAGGGGAGGTGGGAATGACGTGGGAAGCGGCGCTGTTGATTCAACGCGCACCGAGAGACTCCCAGAGCGTTCATCATCGATCCCCTTTCATTTTGCCGAAGTCGAGAAGCCCGCGCCGCAGCACACACACACACACACACCGAGAGCGGACCACGGAACGATGGCCGCTGGCCATAACTGGCGCTAAGGAGGAAGGAGGAGAAATGAGGAGGACGAGGCAGACAAGGAGGATGGAGGGGAGGAGGGATACGCAGAACCCCCGCTTGCCAGGGGCGACAAGACATGTATGATGAGTGGTTTCCCCCTCCCTGTTCGCCCCCCACTCCCCCCGGAGGTCCAAACTGCCTTTTAGCCTGGGAGGGGGGTCTACGAGCTCGTCAGCGCATCCTTGTGGCCCCCAGAGCTTCCAAAACAACCCAAGATGCGCCTCCAAGACGCCCAAGATGCCATCTGAGCAGGCTCTAGAAGAGCCCCATGCATGGCGAAGAGGCCCCAAGACTGCTCCCAACGGCGACGGAGCCTCGGAAGGATAACCCCGAGAGGCCCACATTGCACAACACACATCGATGTGTTTCAGGTATGTGATGCCGTCTCGGCTTTTCGCATCCCAAGGGCTTTTGAGGCAGGCCTTAAGGTGGCTCCAATATCAGCCACACTAGCCCCAAGAGGGGCTCAGAACCGCGCACAAACGGCCCCTACTACTAACACTACATCTACGACTCGACTACTACGACTTCGTTCGAGAGCTCGCTTCAGGGCGTTCGCCCCACGTTTCTTCCCCTGAGAACAATAGCCATTCCGCTGACCAGCTGAAACCTAGCAACGTTTCGAAGCCCAAGACGGCTAGGCGGCGTGCAAGACGCGATCGTGTTCGGCATCGTTCCCGGCACCCCGTGGCAACCGCTTTTCGCTACATGTGGCATCATCAAGGGCGCCCTTGGACCTTTTGGACAGTCCGCTGTCCAGATGTCGTGTTCTCTGTGGTTGGACAAGGCTACAACTACGACTACGACTTCGTCTTCGTCTACGACGACGCTAGGAGTATTACCAGTCCTACTAATACCACTGGCACTGCTAGCACAAATTAAACTACTACTACTACTACTGCTACTACTACTACTAATACTACTCATAATACGACGTCTACGAAGAATACTCGTGCTACCACGGCCACGGCTACGACCACCACCGCCACCACGACTACCACGACTACTACTACTACTACTACTACCACTACGACTACTACTACTACTACTACTACTACTACGACTACTACGACTACGACTACTACTACTACTACTACTACTACTACTACTACTAAACTTACTATTACTCCTACGGCGACTACGACTACGACTACTACTGCGACGACGATTCGAGTAGTTCTATCACTACGGCGACGACTACTACTACTACTACTACTAATACTACTACTACTACTACTACTACTACTACTACTAGCGCCGCTACTACTACTACTACTACTACTACTATTACTACTACTACTACTACTACTACTACTACTAGTAATCTGCTGTTGCTGTTGATTACTACTGCTACTACTACTACTACGACTACTACTACTACTAATACTACTACTACTACTACTACTACTACTACTACTTTTACTACTGCTACTACTACTACTACCACTACTACTACTACTACTACTACTACTACAACTACTACTACTACTACTACTACTACTACTACTACTACTACTACTACTACTACTACTACTACGACTACTACTACTACTACTACTACTACTACTACCACTACTATTACTACTACTACTACTACCACGACGACTGCTTATACTACGACTGCGACAGCCACGCCTACATCCACTACTACTACTACTACTACGACTACTACTACCACTCCTGCCACGACCAGTACTACTGCTACTACTCCCATTGCTGCCACTGGTACTACTACTACTACTACTACTACTACTACTACGACTACTACGACTACTACTACTACTACTACTACTACTACTATAGTACCACTCCTGCTGCTGCCCCTACTACTGCTACAACTACTGCTACTACTACTACGACGACGACTACGACTGCTACTAATACCGCAATTATTACTTCTTCTATTACTACGACTACGACTACTACTACTCCTAGTACTACTACTACTTCTACTACTTCTACCACGACGGCTGCTACTGCTAGCACTACCCCCATTGCTACTAGTACCAACTCCGATTGCTACTACTACTGTTACTACTACTACGTTTGTTACTGCGACTTGTACTACTGGTACTTCTACTACGACTGCGGCAACTACGACCACTACTACAACGACGACGACCGAAACTACTACGTTCACTATGGCTTCTCCAACAACTACGGCTACTACCACCACCACTACTACTACTACTACTACTACTACTACTACTACTGCCACTACCATTACTACTACTACTACTACTACTACTACTACTACTACTACTACTACCACTACTACTACTACTACTATTACTACTACTACTACTACCAACACCACCACTACTACTACTACTACTACTACTACTACTACTGCTACTACTGCTACTGCTACCGCTACTGCTGCTACTACTACTACTACGATTACTGATGCACATAAAACGACCACTGTTTCTACCACGAGGACCAAGGCTACTACAACAACGACTACTACGACTACCCCTACGATTACGACAACATGAACGACTACTTTCACCACTACCACTACGACTGCGATGGCGACTGCTACTACGACCACCATTACTACGAGAACTACTGCTACTAATACTAGTACTACTACTACTACTGCTACTACTACTACTACTACTACCACTGATTCGAGTACGGCTACGGCTACTACTGCGACTACTACTACTACTACTACTACTACTACTACTGCTTCTACTACAACTACGACTACTGAACTCGTACTACTACCACTACCACTACTACTACTACTGCTACTACTGTCCTCGCTACTACTACTACGACTACTACTACTACTACTGCTGCTACTACTACTACTAGCACTATTACTGCTACTACGACTACTTATACTACTACTACTACTACTACTACTACTACTACTACTACTACTACTACTACTACTACTACTACTACTACTACTACTACTACGACTACTACTACAACGACTACTACTACAACTACTACTACTGCTACTGCTGCTGCTGCTGCTACTGCTACTACTACTAATGCTACTACTGCCCTCACCACCTACTACTACTACTACTACTACTACTACCACTACTACTACTACTACTACTACGACGACTACGACTACTATTACTACTACGTATGCTCAACGACTACGACTACGACGACTACTACTACTACTACTACTACTGCTACTATTACTACTACTACTACTACTACTACTACTACTACTACTACTACTACTACTAATAATAAGCATACTACTCATGCTACTACTTGTGCGACGACTACTGCTACTACTACTACTACTACTACTACTACTACTACTACTACTACGACTACTACTACTACTACTACTACTACTACTACTACTACTACTACTACTACTACTACTACTACTACTATTACTAAACATACTGATACTTACTACTACTACTACTACTACTACTACTACTACTACTACTACTCCTACTCCTACTCCTACTCCTACTCCTACTCCTACTCCTACTCCTACTCCTACTCCTACTGCTACTGCTACTGCTACTGCTACTGCTACTGCTACTGCTACTGCTACTGCTACTGCTACTGCTGCTACTACTTCTGCTACGACGACGGCTACTACTATTCCGACATCTTCGACTAGGTCTACCCTTCTGCTGCATCTGAATCATTTTATCCTGTGGCGTCGCCTTCAATCTCCCTGTGCCCCCCCATATTCCGCTCCCCACTCATCCGACCTCCTGAATCATCCCTCAATCATCCTCTCCACCTCCACCTCCACCAGTTGACCTCCAGCGTCGAGCAGCTCAGCAGTCCGACCTCCAACCTCTAGCATCCGACTCTTCACTTCCACCGCCACCAGTCGAACTCCAGCGTCCACCAGCTCAGCATTCCGACCTCCAACCTCTGGCCACCTCCACCTATCGACCTCCAGCGTCCACCAGCTCAGCATTCCGACCTCCCACCTCCAGCATCCGACCTTCCACTCCCACCTCCGCCAATCGACCGCCGACGATCACCACTTCAACATCCTGACCTCCAACCTCCAGCATCCGACTCTCCACTCCCACCTCCATCTATCGACCTCCAGCTTCCACCAGCTCAGCATTCCGACCTCCCACCTCTGGCAGCCGACTCTCCACTTCCGCCGCCACCGACGCCAGGCACCGAGAACGCAGTACGATATCAATGACACCACATGGCTACAACCGGCTACAACAAAGGAGTGGGAACATCTGGAAAACAATCGTCTACTCGCAAGGGTGACCCTGGGTAAGAGTGACCTCGGCCGCGGGGCGACCAAGCACAAGCGCGCAAGACGCTACTATCGCATCGCGTTCGACGGTCGGGGCACCCCAATGGGCCCGCACCCTAGGTCACTCCGGCGAAGGGTCACTCGTGATGGGCCTGTTGTCCACCACCACCACCACCACCATAAGTTGGAGGGGGGAAGGAGGTGGAGGACGAGGAGGAGGACGAAGAGGAGGAGGAGGAGGAGAAGGAGGAGGACCCCCTCCCCCTCCATTTTATGATGGTGGTGGAAAACAGGCCCATCAACTCTTACGTGAAATCGTAACAGTGTGGGGAAGTACGCGTCTCCCTGCGCAGGCGCCCGGCGCGCGCAGCCTCTCACGCGAGGCCGTGGCCTCACCCGCCTGGCCCTCGAGGGGCCCGGGCGCGTGCCCGCACGTGCGTTCCGTTCCGTTCCGGTCCGTTCCGCTCCTCCTCGATCCTCGATCCTCGATCCTCCTCCTCCTCCTCCTCCTCCTCCTGCAAAGGCCGAGGACGACGACGTCGACATCGGCGCAGCAGCGGCCCGGGACGAGCGCGACGGCGAGGCCGACGACGGCGGTCGGAGGGTCGCCTGACGCTGCGCCGCTGGCGGCAGCAAGCCCCCCGCGACAGCGCCCTTGAGGGCCTCCGCTCCGCGGCGGGAGGCGGTCAGGGCGCGCGCGCGCGCGCCTAGCGGCACCCGACGACGGCGGCGGCCGTCGTCGTCGTCGGCGGCGGCCGTCGTCGTCGTCGTCGGCGGCGGCAGCCGTCGTCGTCGTCGGCGTCGGCGGCGGCGTCGTCGTCGTCGGCGGCGGCGGCCGTCGTCGTCGGCGTCGGCGGCGGCGGCGTCGTCGTCGTCGGCGTCGTCGTCGGCGTCGTCGTCGGCGTCGTCGTCGTCGTCGGCTGTCGTCGGCGGCGTCGGCGGCGAGGGCGTGCGGAGACGCGCAGGCTTCGTGGGCCGTCGACGGCCTCGTGGGCCGTCGCGGGGCGATCTTGAAGGCCTCGGGGCTCCGAAGCCAGGCCACCCAATACGGGAACAGCGCAAACGAGCGCAAACCCTCAAAGCGATCCCAAGGCTGGGGTTCGGTCGGGTCTGTCCCCCTACAGGGGGATTTTTGGATGAGAAATTACAAATAGTCAGAAGATATACCAAAAAATACTCAAACAAATTGCCCCCTGAACATGTTTTATTATCTATTATTGAATATTCCAGGCCCGACTGAAGGCTGGGGAGGGGCCTCCCACGAAAGGGTCGGCGGCGCGCCCAGACGGAAGGCAGAGGGGACGGGCCGTCGCAGAGGTTCAGGAGGGCACCGGCCGCCTGCGAAGCTCTTTGGATCTTCTCCCGAGCCAGAGGTGGCGTCTCGCAAGGCAGCCCTCCTGACTGGCGCGAGGACGTAGTGCGGGAGCACCTGGTCCAGCATGCGCTGCAGCTCCTAGCGCATGGCCTCAGGGGGCGGTGGCACCGCGCGAAAGAAAGCGGCGTCGGCCGCGGCGAGCACGCGCTGACTCCCCTCGGGGAAGTTCAGCGCCGCGGGCCCACCCGCGGACAGCGCCAGGCGAAACGCCTCCAGCGGGCTCGCCGCCGCCGCCGTCTCCGCTGCCGCCGCTAGGTTGACCAGATCCAGCGCCCTGAGCGGAGCAGACGCCGCCGCGGCATGCGGGCCGAAACCCGCGGCAGCCGCCGCCGCGACCCACCCCAAGGGCCGCCCCCGCCGCAGCAGCAGGCGCAGCCACCACAACGGCATGGCCGCAACCCGCGTCCGCCCCTCCAGCCGCCCCCGCCGCCGCCGCGCCGTAGGTCTTCCGCCGAGCGCGCCCCTTCGCCCAGGAGCGGGCGGAGCGTCAGCCAGGTCGTCGTCGTCGTCGTCGTCGTCGTCGTCGTCGGTGCCCTCCATGGCGACTGCGCCGCCAGCGAGCTCCCCAAACACGGCAGTTCCAACTGCTTGCGCCTGCCCTGGCCTCCCGGCGCGACCGCCACCTCCATGGTCAGCATCACGTCGTCTTTCGCGTCGGGTTTCGGCAAAGCGGCGGCGCGGCCGCCGCGCCCGCTTCGCCTTCCGTCCTCGTCTCCGCACCTCTCGGCGGGCGCCGCAACACCAGCAGCGGCAGGCGCACCCAACTGCGCCTGGACCGCCGATGCAACAACGGCGATCGCCGACCGCGCCACCGCCGCGACGGTGCGGCGCGGCGCTTGGGCGCGAATCGCAATGCCGACAGCCGCGTCCACGAGGACGGCGGCGTCGGCAGCCGCGAGGCCCCCTCTAACCCCACGCGTGGCCGCGGCCATCATGCGGAAGACGGCCGAAGCAGAAGGTATGCAGTTGCTTGTACAAAAATGGCACCGCTGCGCCTGTGCACACCACAGCGCCTATGTACACCACAACATCCGCGTGCACCGCAGAATGGCCGGTTGAATCAGTCCACTTGGTTATCGGCCGGCCAATTCTGCGGGAGCCCCGTGATGCGGGAGGACTTGAGAAGACTCGTTCATCCTTCAAACGGCGCTCATCTTTCCATAAGTCAATATAAAACGATTGTTTCTGTGGTCCACAAGCGCTCATTTTGTCATCTCATTCCTGCGAACATTCTATCTGCGACAATGGTGGTACGTTGTACGAGGTTGCCGTGGTGCACACAGACGCCGCGGTGTATACAGGCACCGTGGTGCACGCAAGCACTGTGGTGTACGCTGGTGTTGTGTTGCGCACGGCTGAGGTGGTGTACGCAGGCACTGTGGTGTACACGCGCGCTGCGGTGCACGCGAGCACTGTGGTGTACACAGGCGCAGCGATGCACGCGGCAGCTGTAGTGTACATAGGCGGCGTGCGTTGTGGTGCACGCGCGGCAGCTGTAGTGTACATAGGCGGCGTGCGTTGTGGTGCACGCAGGCACTGTGGTGTACACAAGAGCTGTGGTGCAGATCGCAACCTAGATGCTGTTGCTATCCATCCTCGGTCATTCCTAAGCATTCCCGGACGCCGACGGCGCAAAACGTGATGTCATCGACAACCCCCCCCCCAGAAGATTGCCGCCATCGGCCCGCAATAAATTAGCCCGGCGAATGACCCGGCAGAACCGCAGCTGTGGGTATCATCTTCGGTGGAGCTCCTTGTGGACCACGAAGCGCTGCACTGGGCGGGGGGGACGCCTGTGGACACCGCCACTGGGGCCTTCAGTGGAGCTCCCTATGGAGGAAACGCTGTACTGATTTGGGCAGACGCATGTGAACGGGTTCATTGAGGCCTTCGGTGGAGCTCCATATGGGGCTACGAAAAGCTGTGTTGGGTGGAAAAAAACGCATGTGAACGGTTCCACTGTGGCTTTTGGGGGGCACCCTATGGGGCCACGAAGCGCTGTACTGGGGCGGAACCGCATGTGGACTTTGCCACGGGGGCTTTCGGTGGAGTTCCCTATGGGGCCACGAAAAGCTGCACTGGGTGGGGGAGGCGCATGTGTTGGTGCGCCCGATCATACCACAACGCAGAAGGGTCGGGGAAAATACAAAAACATCACCAAAAAATACCTGCGTGATAAACACATATGCGGTATTATTAATAATGCATAGGAATAAATATAAGTGAGGTTCTTATATTATAAATACCAATAGTAGTATTTATTAGCATATATAATTATGGATACCATTGATCATAAATTATGAATGATAGTGAAATACGATTCTGCCATTGCAACATTACTATTCATACAAACCTGGATCATGCAACACACGAAAAGATCTCATTCTACTTACGAAAGTGGGACGCATGGCACCACCGATAGCATGGCGACAAACTTAAGGCTCCCGAGCCCACATCTGGAGCCTCAAAGCCCCATGGGCGCCGCAAGAGCCACCCGAAGACCTCAATGCGTTTCACGCACGGACAGTTATGATATATGTCACAGGAATCATACATCACCCCAACAAGCAACTACACACCTCCCAGGTGCGATTGCAAAGCTTACTTCTGTAAGGAAGCTCCACCCAAGGACGCAGACAGGTCAGGATAGACATCGCGTTGCCCAGGAACCCCCTAACCCTGAACCCATCGGCCAAGCACAGCGGCATTTGAACCGAAGGCCGCTACATCTTTGCCACCACAGCCTCAAGCTTTCAAACTTCCCTCTGATCGGCGGGATGGCGCAAGCCCCACGGAGTAACGATGCCCGTCTTAAGTGCAAACAACGACTTGGAAATTGCGACCACGGGATGGCGCCGGGTGGCGGCAAGTTGTTCTGATCTCACAGAGTGCATCTGGCAAAGGCGGGACCCCGTTCGTCTCAGCCCTCTTTCCCACCCACCCCCTTCGCAGCCTTCAGACCCCAGAATTGGCCAACGTAGATGGCCTGCCCGCGTCGCCGCCGCCGCCGCGACGCCACTGGCCCGCCCCTCTCAGTCGAGCGGGGAGGGTCCACGAGCATGAAGACATCGATGGTAACATCAACGATGGAGAGGAACGATCTCAACACATCCGAACGTGCTCCCCAGCAAGATCTCTCTGAGCGCAACTCTGCGCGCCCAACCCCTGAGCGCCGCCGCCCGCAGCAGGCCCTAGCTGCGGCGGCAGAGGCGCCCACTGCCGCCAAACCCTGCCGAGGCCCTCAAGCCGCGCGGACCCTCTTGGCCCTGGCCTCCTTGGCTCGCTCGGCGAGCGACTTCTTCTTCCCGACGGCGGCCTCAGCTGGCGGCGCAGCCCCGGCCGCGGCAGGAGGCCCGCTCGTCGAACTGGCGGGGGTAGAGGCGACGTCTGCAGCCTTTCGGCGGGACGCCGAGGGGCGATGGTGAACGGGGGAAGGCCTCGCCACCGAAGACGCGGTTATAAGAAGCCCCCAGGGCCCGCTGGAACAGCACATCTGTGGTGAGGCTACTCCCCATTCGCCTGCCCTTCGGCGCGCCACCGAGCCTTCGCGGTGCCGTCGCGGTCGGCGACCGCGTCCGACGGCGCGGCGCCGTCCTCCCACGCCTTCAAGTAGTCCTCCATCTGCTGGGTCAGCGTCACGCCGCTCGGCTTGAGCTCGAGCCGAAGCTGCTCGACGTTCTTCTTGGCCAGCGTGGGGTTGACCACGTCCTTCCACGCGACCTTCACTTTCCATATGAAGAATGTAAAGGCCACTGTCTCAACTCCAAGGTCGATGAGCTCCTTGGTTTTCTTCATCACCTCCGCTGATATCAAGGCGGGCTGACGATCGGCGTGAAGGACTTTGACCAAGCGCCTGTACTCCTTCATCAAAGACGTGAGCTTGCCGATGCCGCCGTACTTGGGATTGTTCGTCAATGTCTCAATCATCACGTCATTACGGAGTAATGACTCCCTCACTGGTGCATAATTGGGGCAAGACGCCTCAACCTGCTCGCAGAGGGACTCGAGGTCCTTGGTCCAGGTCTCTGCGAACCGACTTTGGATAGTCAGCGATTGTTCCAACAAGACAGGCCCGAGAGCTTTGGGATTGACGAACTGCTTTAAGATCGGAATGTGGGAAGCCACGTCCACGGACTCGCAGTCGCCGAGCTGCTTGGCATTCTCCTTCAGGAAGGCATCGAATCCAGCATGGCGAGCCCGCGTGTCTTTCAAGACGTTAACCTGCGCCTGCGTGATCGCCGTCTTGTCGATCTTGGCATGGTTGAGTACCTCTTCGCCCAGGACGCGA